ACTCTTCAAGCTGGGGATCCATTTCTTTTTCTTTTTTACTGGGAGATGTCACTTCAGGCATTTCGGTAAATCGAGATGGTTGACAACTAGAAGATGATTCTGCTATGGCTTTTGCAATTTTATCAGCTTTCGCGTTCCCAATATTAGTCAAACATTCCATCACTAAAGACATTGTTTCGGAAAATGTTTCTTTCTTCTGTTTCTTAGCTACAGGTTTGGGAGTAGGACTGAGGTCAATAGGTCCTTCTACATTAGGTCGTTCTACATCAGTCATGCCCACATTGCCCTCAGTGTTATGAATTTGAGCTTCATGTGTTGCCACTTGAGGCATTGTTAGCACTTGGTGAGGTCTGGGTGGCTTTGTAGAAGGATGAACATGCTTGCCAGTAGCATGTGTATTCCCAAAAATCCTTACCATCTGCTCATAATTCTTACACCCCTGTTTTTTTATTTTTTTTCCATGCTTGAGAACCTACACATTATCAGCTTACAATTATTGTTCATCAAACCCTTTTAATACTAAATCACTAATTACTTACTATATGTATGGTAAATAGACACGTATTGAAATACTAACCTTGCACAATCGAACCCATCTTTCAGCTTCCAACTCAATCATTCCAGTTTCACTGTTGTACCCTACACCAGTCTCAACTAATATTTGTTTGCAATCTTTGTACAATGCTCTTATATTATTGAATTTTTGTCTACATTGGTCCTTCGTATACTTCTTTCCAGTTTCCAATAACATTGCGTCCATAGTATGTGTCCACCCATTTGGATTAAAAGTCGTGCCTATACGATTTCCTTTTCCAACCTCTTCCTCCATCAAAAGCATGAATTTCTCTTGATGGGCATCACACCAAACAGCGGCATCGGCCTGTTCAACAACTACAACATCCTCACCATTGTCACCATCAAGAGAATGAATGTCTCTTGATGGGTATTGCTCAACATTGTCATTGTTCATATCCATCTGATTATTATTAAGTAATTGAACAGTTTAGTACATTGAATTGTGTTTTTGACTCATAATTCAACACGTCAATGATAAGTAAAAAAGGTACTGTCTATAAAACACTTCAATAAGGGGCAAAAAAGAAGAAAAAATGAAGTAAAAATGTGATAAAAATTAGTCTCCTTCCATTTTCTTCAATTCAAATTCTCACCATTTTCTTCATTTTCTTCAGTTCAAATTCTATTTGTCAAAATCAATTAAATCAACCACATGATTTTCTTAAAAATTAGTCTCCTTCCTCAATTTCAAAGGCAATTTCTATATAAGCTAGGTGATTCAAATTGGATAAGTTTCCATTTCTCTAGTTGATGTTCTCCTAAAGGTTGAGAAGAGCAGTGATCTCGAAGGCCCATATCTGTCAAAGTATATGATTTCAAATCTTAAAACTCTCTCAACGTATCAGATTCAAGGTAATGCAACTTATTCAAGGTAATGCAACTTATAATCTCACATTTTATTGTGCCTGGTAATTGCATAAAATATGAGGATACAAAAATCTCACATCTAATTACAATATAATAAGGCCGGATAGGGATTGTATGACATAAAGTTAGGTATTTTATTTTTAATCTCATGCTTATTTCTAATTTATTAATTTAATTGAATCAGACAATTTATATTTTTAAACATCTCATACGATCTCAGTTTCTAATGAAGGCTAAATTTCCAAATAATTGGTTTGAATGATACTTTATAAATTTTCATAAGTTGTTGAAATAGGCTTTACTTTTTAGCTATAAAATTAAAATTGAGTTATGAAATTATGCACTACCATTTCTATATACACAGAATTATTCATCACTTTGCAGAGAATAAAAATATATCTAAATCTGGATTATGCTACTGTATTTGCTACTGAAAGAATATGGAATTGTGGAACTATAGTTATGGAACTAAATCTGGAATTTTGTTAGTGTATATATATATAGAGAGAGAGAAAGAAAGAGCACCTGAAAGAATCGCCCTTGACGAAATCGATACACAGAATGTATGACCTACCGACGCTTCGTTCCCCTTTGCTAACGCTCGGCTAAAAGTCTTGAACCTTAGCGCGTTCGCTTTCTCAGTAGCAAACAACAGAAATTTCCAAAGAAGAAGCGTCGATCTGTGGTTGCGAAGAACTCTAGGGTTTCAAATTCGGGTCACACTCCATTTAACAGAGAGACGATTGAGCTGAAAACCAAGTACGGGAGGATTGATCAATCTGTAGCCTAGCAACGAAGGTGTAATGAAAACGAAGAACAATCGGCTTCAGAAATCGCCTCTAAAGGAGTTGCGCGATGAGGGAGAAAATGATGATGAAGAACAATCTAGGGTTTCAGATTCGGGGTCACACAAATACATAACAGAGAGACGATTGAGCTGAAAACCAAGTATGGGAGGATTGATTGATCTGTAGCCTAGGAACGAAGGTGTAACGAAAACGAAGAACAATCGCCCATGAAATCGCCTCCAAAGGAGCTGCGCGATGAGAGAGAAAATGACGATGAAAAATGGCTCAGTTCTGATATGTGATTTTTTATACTTGATATCACCGCTACAGTTAAATAAGGATTGATATGGTTTTGGTTTGGGTTGGTATGGCCGCTACAGTAAACCATATCACCCAATATCACCAATTCTGTGATATGGGTTTTGGCCCAAATTTCATAATGTTTTTACACTGTTCAATACCACATCAACCCACTCCAAACATGATATTGGCCCAAAAATGAAACCAAAACATGAAAACAATAATAGATATGGGCCTCCAAACAGGCCCTTAGGAATGAACTTTAATCCAATTGACAGATCAAATGTCACACTTAATAAGTGTGCTTCAAGTCTTCAAATGTAAGAATGACCCATCTTGATTGGAGTTGACTAAATTGACAAACTTGGTACTTCAAATCAAGACCGCTTCTTCAATTAGCAAACTGTAATAAAATAAAATAAGGGACATATTAAATTAGTATTGTGATATGTTAAAAAGTAGTGGCAATTTTTTTATTTTCCATTCACAGTAACCAACCTTGACCCAAAATGGTTAAAAGGGCAAAACTAAAAAAACAAAATAACATATTTTTTAAACTTCTCTCCTTTTTTTTATTATCTTTTTGTCCACTTCCAAACCGGCCAGTTCTCTAAGAGAGCGGACCGGTAAGGCCATACTGGCCGTTTTGGCCAGGTATCCGCTGATTCTTATGTAAATCTATATGCATACCGATAAATCAGTGTGTAATAGAACCGGAATCAGCATTTCCCAGATTTGCCAACTGTGTATGTACGTCCACTTTTTTTTTATTATTTTCCTTTCAATTTCTTTTTTTATTATTTATTTTAAAGGCTACAACTATTCATTAAGCTTTTCAGTTTTTATAATTGTTCAACTTTTTGAGCTTTACAACTTTCACTCTTTCAACTTTTCAATAGGGTTGCAAACGAGTTGAGCCATTCGTGAACTACTCGAGCTCAGCTCCATTTACGTTTGGTTCGTGTTTGTTTATTTATTACATAAACCGAGTTGAAACAAAATTACTTAACTCGTTTAATAAATGAGTAAATCTCAAACATCATTCGGTTCAGCTCATTTGTTAATAAACATGTCAGTGAATAGGCTGGTTTTAAGCTCGTGAACACGCATATATATATATATATATATACGACTACCAAAACACACGTACGATGCACGTGAGCGAAAATGTGTATATAACTCTAAAAAAAAAAAAAAAAACATGTTTGTGAATATGCTCGTTTTAAGCTCGTGTACGCACACGCGCGCGCGCACTCACACACACACATGTATATATTAGTAAAACACATGTGCGATATACGTGAACAGAAGTGTCTGTATATCAATGTATGAACAACTATCTCTCAAGCACGGTTTAGTTTGGCCTCAATGGGAAAATAAAATAGAGCACCTAACAACGTATTTTCATAGACCAAGAACTATGAGATCGCTTCTTTCATTCTGGGGTGACGGAGGGATCTTACTATTCGAACCGTTTTTTTTCATGCTTTTACCGAAGGTCTGGAGAAAGCTACAATCAAGATTTCCCTAATTTTCCTTTCGAAAGGAAGAGCGTTAAATTCTTTTTCCTTTTCGCGGACCAGAGATTAGATCTGGCAGTAAGAAGAATGCTTGGTATAAATAACTCACTTCTTGGTGTTCGACCCCCTCAGTATAAAATAAAAAATTGTAAAGTATAATTAAATAATATTATAAAAACATATTATTTATTGAAATAAATAACATTCAAAAAATAATTTTATATATTATTATTAGTGTGTCCTACTATTATATTATTAAATAAGATTTTTAATAGTATATATTTCATTCCCTAATTAAATTTTTATTTATTGAATTTTAGTATTTCCTACTACTATATTATTATTAAATAAATGATTTGAAACACTTTGTGCTTTTGATATAGAAATATAGAATATAAATTTATATTTATTGAGTATACCATTAGATTGTGACAGGCCGAGAGCATTTCAGAACTTGGCTCGATTGCAACCCTTTTACCAAGAAAAATTTGAAATTTTAATTGAGATTTCAAAACCCTGCGCCATACGATTCATGAAAGTATCAACCTAACTTATATATATATATACACACACACTATTATTAAAGTGTAATCAATTTTTATTTTTAAAGTAAATATACTTGTCAATACTTATTCAAATTTAGATTACAGACATACAAAATTAATCACACTAAAAATACTCCTACAAACAAATAATATAAGAGATGCAAAATTAAGGAACTTATTTACTCAGGCAATAAAATTATTTTATTTGTCAATTCTTTATATATATATATATATATATTTTTTTTGACTAGAGTGTGAATCTAATGATACATTCTGCCACTTACGGAAGCAATAATACACGGAAAGAGTCCCTTTTAAATTTTATCGGGTAACGTAATTATTATTGTTTTTTTACCTGAATGTAACATTTTTTTACCTGAATATATATCTATAAATATGGTTGTATCATGTAAACCCATTTTCACTGTCTCACTGTTAGGGTTAGGGTTGCGGCGATTCTGAGAGTTAGGGTGGTGGCGATTCTGATCTTCTAAGAGGCATGTCTCCTCAATCATCAGGTAGCTAACTCAACCTATTCTTCTCCTCCTTCGTAGATTCTTGATTGAAATTTTAGGTCTTTGCTGATATGTTACTCGATTCAATTTGTGCATTGCTTTCTTTAATCATTTTGAACTCGATTCAAGTTTGTTGGTTTCATATTCTTCTGCTTTCTGTTATTATTATTATTATTATTATTATTATTATTATTCTGTTTTTAAGAATGAAAAAACTTCTGATTGTTATTAAAGTCCAGTTTCTACATTTCTCCGAAGTTTCTGAAGTGTTTGAATTATGTCCTCTTAATATAGGTTTACTTCCTGTGAAGGGAAAATCTCAGTGAAATGAGTGGAATCGGAAAATTGTAAGTGTGTTATTTTTTACCATATTCTACTTGTCCGATGAGATATTACATTTTAATTTGATAATTTTACAAATTTATATCATGATTTATTGGAAATATTATCATATTTTGTTGGCTCAAGAATTTTTTTTTTTTATTTTTTTATTTTTATTGAACAGATAGTCATTGTCATTGGCACCATTTAAACATGCCATTAGGTTATCTAGCTTAACTGAAAAGCTTTTTAATTTTACTTTTAAAATAAATCTCTTACTATGAGATGGTCTTTAATACATACTATGTATTCGGAAAGAAACTAATTTTTTGTAGTGTTAAATTGATTTTGTTTTTTCTTTCTCGAGGGCCCCTTGAATCACCCCCATAAACTTATTCACATGAAGCAGACAAGTAATAGAAAATTTTCTGGAAGTGTTCCTAGAGGGGATATGAACTCAAATATATATATTTTTACCAATTCAATTTTCTCTATTTTATTTTCCTCTTTTTTTGTGTTTTCTCTTCTCTCAACAATCCTAACCTTAATTATTCTGATGTCGAATCGACATCAAATGTGGCAAGTTTATTTCGATGACTGCTCTACCATGAACTCAAAGCAGGGTTGAACTTGAGTTTTTTGCGATCCACTTGTTTAATTCTTCTTTTCCTTTTTTGTTTTCTTTCTGATTTCGTTTAATTGTAACTATTATGTAATATAGTTGATTTGACTTGTTAATGATATTATGAATTTGAACTGGTCATTATTTTGTCAACACATGCAGTAGTATTATTGGTAATTCTGAATTGAATCGTTGTTCACAAGTGTCGCATGCACTCATCAGGTGGTTTCTTGTGAATAGAGGACTGCATGGGCTTTATTCCCAAACATAGAGCCTTTAATTACGCAAAGGATTTGATCCCTCAAAGATTCAAACCAATATACCAAGCAATGACCTCAGACCTTAATGGTCATAATAGTGTGTTATCTGAATTATTGTTATTTGGTTAATAAGATATAGGTGGCATTTGATAAAACCGAGAGTTGTATTGGACTTTCTTAGAGCTGAATTAGTGAGATATATAGATGTTGTTTGATAAAACTAGGAATCAAGTATTGGAATTTCTAAGAGCTGAATATTTAAGTATTAAAAGTTGTAATGCTAATTGTAAATTGATAACTTCTTTAATACTTATTTGAATTTTAAGCGTTCATTGTTAAGTGATAAGTGGAATATATCACTTGAAATTTAACTCCATTTTACACGGAACTTGTTCTTATAAGTGTTTGATAAAACTAAGAATCAAGTATTGGAATTTCTAAGAGCTGAATATTTAAGTATTAAAAGTTGTAATGCTAATTGTAAATTGATAACTTCTTTAATAGTTATTTGAATTTTAAGTGTTCATTGTTAAGTGATAAGTGGAATATATCACTTGAAATTTAACTCCATTTTACACGGAACTTGTTCTTATAAGTGAAATCCAAATTGGGCTATAACACTCACTTAAGACAATCACTTACTTTATTCAGAATTAATTATCAAATTCATTTCGTTTGGAAATACTGAAACATTTCCATTGGCGTATGAATGGCATTTGATGGTCCCTTCTTCCCATATACAATTTGTTTCTCTGTTTTGGGTGCTTTCTCAGTTAGCTAATATGACATGATGCTGGGAAAATAAGTGGGAGGAAAGCGGTTGTGAAGAAGTTAAACATTGCATCACTTACTGATCACCCATATAGAAACTTAAGTTCTTTAAGTAGGCTATCTTTTCCATAGAACGAAGGTCTTAATTTGTTTATTTTCTTTTTTATCTTCCAACCATTTTATTTAGAAATAGTAGAGCTTTAACCAATTCAAAGGACCCAATTGATTGGAAGAGTGCAGAAGCCGGTACAAAATTCAGAATTGCTCAAAAGAAAAAGGATAAGTACTAGACCAATTTTTATCACACTTTAGGTATGTTACTTTCTCATGGTAGATAAAAGTGATTTTTACGTATAAATGGGGTTAGGGATCCATATTTACTAAGTGGTTGAGTCAAAGTCCCATACTTTCAAGAAAATGAGATTGACTAAAAAGATGACATGGCACATGAACTTTTACCGTATAAAATATTGTGTTGTCTAAAATACCCTTCTCCTTATTCCAACACATTTACCTTATTGCCCTTTTTATTTACTCGTCCAATTTAAGCAATATATGGCCAATAAACCCTCATTCGTGCGCCCTCTCTCTCTCTCCCTCTCCGTAACAACGAAGCGCAGCCCGTTCTTTGTCTCTCTAACTAGCGAAGCAGCAACCCCGTTCCTTTGTCTTCTCCACTTCGTTTCTCGATGACCGAATCTATTCGGTTTTGAATCAAGCTAGACCTAGGGTTTGTCTCTCTCTCCTTCAGTCTCTTTCTCAAGAATGAATCTAGGGTTTGAGGTAATTTTCCATCTAATTTATGTTCATAATTTGTGATTCTGATATGGGTTTATATGTTTTCTTTTGGTTTTTCATCTATTTTGCACATTCAATCCAAGATTGCACATTCAATCCAAGACTGATTATTCAATCCAATTTATGAGCATATTTACATAAATAACTTTCAATTCACAACTTGTATTCTAGGTCTATGACATTATATAGATGCAAATTGTTGATATTTGAAATTAATTTTCAAAGAAGGTAAATATATGTTTGGGTTGACCCAAAGTTTTTTATATAACTAGGACCTTGCTGTTGTTAGGGTTCTTGTGTCTGTTGTGAGGGTATGCCTTCATTTTTTGCCTTGTACTATACTGTACCATTTATAATTTGTTTTCTTCATTTAGGGGGGAAAAAAAATAATAAAAGGATTTAGATGTAACAAATTCTAATAACTTTTAAATTTTTAGCTAAAAGTTAAATAAAATTACAGACTCAAGCTTTTATACTTAAATTAACCAAAATAAATTCCATTGACTAAACAGTTTATATTCTTGTATTTTACTTGGAAGCCATACCCTAGGGTGTTTAAAGTTTTGAGTGCTCATTTATTCTCTTTTAAGTTTTTTCCTTGGATCTTGTTTTCTTGAAAAGTAATATTATGAAATTAGTGGTACGAGTAGTGTGTAAGGTCCACCCACAAGTAGTTGTGAGGTGGACCTTACACACTTATAAATGAGATCGCTATAGAATCATTTTCCTTACTGGCAAGTTATTTGTATCTGATTAAGAGTTTTGAATGTTTACTGTAGGAAATCGGAACAAAAATTGTTAGAACGTCCTTAGTGATGAGGATTGTTTTATTTTGCGAGTAATAAGAGATAAACTGTAATCACTTGTTATTAAAATAATAATAATAATAATAGCGAAGGAGGGCATTTTTAAAAAATAATAATTCTCCACCACTCATGTAATATGCTGATCTTGATCAGTTATACAACTTTGTGTTTAAGTTAGCGGCTATTTACTAGAAACTCAGATGCATGTCGCCAAATTAAAGAAACGGGAACATGGCTGAGTTAGTTGAATTGTTTGATGTTATACTTCTATATCTTAGTATAACATGGTGATTTTAAAATAGCACTCTAGCATGGAAAGGTCATTCATTTGGAGCAACCATGTAAGAATTGAATTGTTCTAATGTGTAATTGTATAGAAAATTTGAAATTTGAAATAAATGATATGCTTATTGGATGTATATATATGCCTTTGACATGCGTACTTCACATTTTTGGAATTTTTACTGGGTAGTAGTCACTAATATACCATCTTGTTGTGAACGAACTCTTAGTCTACGATTTGATTACCTAGGGTTGTTATATGATGTTTCATCTATTCTGCATCGTAAACTGGAGCCATACTATCAGTTAATTTATAAGCCTGTTTTGTGATTTTGATTTTGAAGACTCTAGTAGTGGAAGGTAGTTGGCAATATGCTAGCAAGACACCTATTCCAACTTGAATGCACCTACCTAAGACATATATAAAAACCACCAAAGCTTGTCTTGCATTCCACCAAATCTTCATCAACAGTTCTTTGTATTCCTTATACTATTTAATTGAAATTTGTCCATATATGTGTTCTATTCTTCCTTGTTGTAAAGCATACCCCATATAGATGGATAAATTTTGAGATGGCTTTTAAAATCGTCCTTAATAATCCGTCCCTAATATCCAAAATTCTTGTAGTGTAGTCAGATATCATGCATAAAAAAATTAAAATAATTGACTCTGGCCAGGGGAACTCCATAAGCTTGCACTTATGATGCCAACTATTTATGTCTAGGTATAGAAATTTAAATTCACTTATTCCTCCACCATGATTGCATTTGAAACCCTTTATAGAATCTTCCAGGGAAAAAAAAAAATTCAACTAGGTACTCATACATAGATGCTTGTTCTTTCTCATGGTATGTTCTAAGATATAATATTTGTAATGTATGTATCATTTTATTTCAAATAGCTATAATGTCATTATCATAATGGGTTATATGTTGTAGCTTTTCTACGTACACCGTGTGGATGTCGATGGCCCAAAACCGATGGCAGAGATTTCATGCCTACGTGGATGGACCAACAAATTAATTAGCGAGAGGTTGAATTTAGAGAAACGTAAATAGAATGGTTTCGGCTGTGGTGAGGTGAAGTTTGCAACTCATACATCTGAAGATGCCGATTATAAGTTAATCATGTCAATCATGGCTTTTTATGATTAGTTCTAAATATGCGGTTAAATTTGTATATTCACAATTACTTGTAAATCTACGGTTACATTTATATATTAACTGATATATATTTATAGAACTTTTTAAAAAATTGTTAGGAGTTGGCATCTGAAATTATTACAGTGTTTAAAAAATGGAAGCAACAACACAATGTAGGCCAAGGTAGGGAGTCAAGATCCTCACAAAGCCTTGTTACAAAACCCAGTTCATCCACACGACAACCTAACCCACCTTCGCAATTGTGCGCGCAATACCGTCCGATGGAGGAGGAAGATGAAACCTTCATACCAGCGGAGGAGGAATACGAAACCCCCACACGACAAGCAAACTCACCTTGGCAATCTTTTACAAAACACGATCCCATGGAGGGGGAATGAGAAACCCTCACACCAATGAAGGAGGAAGCAGAAACCTCCACATCAATGGAAGAGGAAGGTGATGTGCAGGAAGCAGTAAGCATCCCCTTATTACGTGTTATAAAGGCTAGGCGCCATCTGGGATCACCTTGGGTTGAAATAAAGGTTAATCGATTGCGTGCCATTAGTACAATACCAAAGATGGTCCTCACATGTGCCATGAACGAGAACTAAATTCATCAGTGAGAAATTATATAAATAATTATTTATTTGCTCTATATTTACTTACTTTCTATGCTCAAACACTTAATATGTTATTGTTTAATTATAGTGAAATCCCGGTAGACATAAATGGTTTTTAACTCACAAGAAAAGATATGAGAACAATCTCTTACAATAATTGGATATCAAATGTGGTATGTTCACTTAAAGTTCAGTGATTTTTCAAACCAATCACATTCATGCATTTATGGTTTAAATGTGATCATTGTAAGTGGTTTACGTTTATTGCCAAATGCTCCAACTAAAACAAAGGCGTAGAGAATCCAAATTTTACTTTCGGCCTTGGATTGGGGTAACAAATTCTTCTATCTATAATGAGTGTTTGTTTCACACATATTAGGTTTTCAATTGTGCATTTTCAGATTGAACTTTCCAAAATAACTTCAAAAGTGGTTGATAGGAAGGCCAAAATACAAGCTTTATGGAACGAGTATAAAAGGATAATGAAGGTCAATGACGACATAGTTTGCCAATTCAATATCGTAATATTTATCGCTTGAAAATATAACCATTTATTATCTTTTTACCATAAAAATATTATTGTAAAAATAATTATATTTGTATAGCTTTAAATATGTAGCTTTTCTTTCCAATACTTGTAAATGAGAAACATTGATGCTTGTATATCTTCAACATCTGTGATAGTTGTATAGATATGTTGGATTCAATGAAGCGATGTTCGCATGATAAGCCTACTCCTAATAATATGTCAAAAGATTTGGTAAATGCTTATTACATATGAGCCCATTTTTATTATTAAGGATTCATTAAATTAGGACGGTAAAGTATACTGGTTGAAGACTTTTTATTGAATTTTCTACTCTAATCATTTATATACTGTGCATTTGTAGGTAACGTTGGTTGAGATGTTCACCGGAAGAAATTTACAAAACTTGTTATACAATGTGACCAAAACGCTTAATGTTCCTGCTGTATTGATTATGTTCACAATTATAATTGAATTATACCTAAACAATCTTCTATTCAGTGATAGTTGTGGTGTTTTCATGTTGGAGTTCATGGAGAAATGGGATCGTTCACTCAATCACCCAAAAGAGAAGGTGAAGTGGAAAATTGTATATTTATATGTATTCACATATGAAATTCATTTCCCTATCTTATACTCATGAAAGAAATTACCTGGTTTAATGTACAGGTGAACGTTGACAAGTTACATGCAACTATTGCTTCAAGATTGCTTTTAGATGAAAATAACAAATTGAAGGATTATGTAACGACCAATACACGTGAGATATTATATTTGTGGTTAAGCACATTTATACTTTTTAATGGCTATATTTTAATTTGTAACAAACTTTAGCCATGGGATTGTTTTTTTGGAAATTTAACTATTTAGTTGATTTTTAAAGGGTGTTGAACTCTGATCTAATTTGGGGTATTAATTTATATGTTTGCTGAAATTTTGACTTATTATAGAAGTACTTAGAATATGATTAGACTGATTGTGGTTTTATTTGGACCATGTTTGGAAAAAAAAGTGGTACGTTCACGGAATGCACTTATTTTTCCAATTCAAAATGCTTTCAAACCCTTCACCGGAAATTAGGTTGCACATTGGATAATTCAACATTTTAAATGAATGTTGTGAATGAGTTCTGCCTTTAATGGTTAGACAGCTATATATCTTCGTATTTTGTTTCAAAAAGTGGATTTTTTTTTTAACTACCCAAAAGAGGTAGATCTTTTACTATCCGTTTGAATGAATTATTAGGAAATTATTTATTGTCTAAAAGGAACTTAGGCTTTGTTTGTCTAGACGAGAGAAAAGAAAAGAGAGGATGACATTAGTGATTTGTTTGTCTAGACGAGAGAAAAGAAAAGAGAGGATGACATTAGTGATGAACAAGAAAACGGAGTAAATAAAAATAGCATGCATTCATGTTTGGTTAAGGATATATATATATACGGTTACGTATATTGCTGACCATAAGCCACACAATATACCATAATCCACATTAGGTTGGTTATGATCAGATGATATCCCTTGATGGGAGGGATGTTATAAGATATTTACGTATACATTACTTGGTCCCCACTCTTACACACTATGCTCACTTTCGGTTAGTATTTCCCATTGAATAGACGTGTGTGAGTTTAGCGCAGAGAGTGAAAGACCAAGCAAAAGGTTGGATCTCGGTGGTTGTTCGTCGCTTTGGCTTCTGAGAAAAAAAATAACTTCTGTAGGTTAGAATCCAACACGAGCATTTCATAATTAGTTTCTACGTAGACGTGCCATTTTATGACTAGCATTGAATGAAACTAATGGATTTTGTGTAAGTAATCTTGAGTGAGTATTGTTGCGTCTTCTTTTTTTATTACCTCATATATTTCCTTTATTTCTTTCAGAATGGGAACTCAAAATATTGAGGGTTACGAATATCAAATCATCAGAAAGAGTGGGAATGAACGGTATGATCATGCAATCCTACAACCAGGTGGGATCCATTTGTCTTATCAACCCATTAATGGGAAATGCTAATACAATGGTGCCTCACAAGCACCTAGTGAACTTAAAAGCTGTTGATAGAAAATAGAGTTGGGCAGGTTTGAAATGTGGATTAAAAAAATGAAGCTGGGAATGAGACAAGGTACGGTTCACTGCGTGTTTGGAGACAGTGTCCAAAGGGCATAAAAATCATAAAGTCAGTCTGATGCTTTATTTATTTGACCAAACATTTTCAATTTTCAATTTTCAATTTTTTTGAAAGCAACTTTATCTATCCCTCAAACATTTGTTATTATTGGTGAAACAAGAAGACCAAAATTGTTCTTAGAAAACACTATACTATAATGGATCCAAGGCAAAGGACCTCTTTTTCTTGAGAACTTTAACCACATCAGATCTGTTGGTCCACAAGTTTACTATCGTTTCACTAGCAACCACAAATTAAGTTCTTCACCAAGGGATTAGACCCAATACATTCCAAAGCACACAATAATGCATTGATTTATAATCAAAATATGTATATGGATTCGGTATAGGATCATTATCGATATTTGAGAAACGTGATAACACAATTAATTGGCTTCACAAACAAATTAATATTATATATTCTTAGCATTTTTTTTTTTGGGTATAGGACATATATCATGTTCTAACACATTCTTTTCATTCTTTTTTCCTTCTCTTGTATACGGAGTGTGTCAGGTAGTTACATTTAAACAGTTTTACCACAAAGCATTTCTCTACTTCAAAGGTTCCTTCATTGGCATGGAGCACTAGAAGAGTTTGTTGTCTGACCGGTGAAGTAAGTGTCTTCACTTTGATTTCCACGTGCAACTCTACCTTATATTGAGAAGCTTCACCTTTCCCAACTCTTGAGATGAGAATATTATTATTATTATATTTTCTTAAGGTGAGAACTATTATCATTTTGCGAATAAAAAGACTCGGGGTTGTCGATCCTTGAAAATGTCTTGCTATACCCCGTAGCGTAATGTAGCAATAGCATGTAAATTGTAATGCCGCAATAGTCTCGTCTGATTGATGAGATTTATTTTAGGGATTTTTATATATAAATGTATATAAATTAAATTTTAAAAAAAATAAAATCTTATTATACATTTACAATATTGTGTAGGCAAAATCTTATAGTTTTTAAAAAATGAAGTTGACCAAATTAATAATGTGAACATAAACTTTCATTGTTTACTATAAGTTGTTGCCCAAAATAATCTCTCTGTGTTTGAGCCAAATTATACCATGCTACCCCCATTTCACTAATTCACCCAAACAAAGCCCTTAAATTTATTAGGGCAATTTGGCTCAAACAGTGATTGACCAGCGTCTCCCACAATGGTTCACCTAACCAACAGTTGGGCTCGTGACTGCTTATAGTGAAGGTCGCACCAGTGTGCGGATCAACAAAATGGTTGTTGATGATTCCATGGAAAGCAGGGTACAATCCGGTCACAATTGAGTAATGGTTTGGGAATGTTAGGGTTGGGAACACCGGAATCAAAACCGTTTGATCTTCGGTCCCGTTAGTGATCAGGTGATGGATGTAGGGCGTCGGGGTCTTGAATTGGTACCTAAATCGAAACCCATCTGATGAAATCAGGAGAACAACTGGGTGGTTGAGTTTGGTCAGAGGATGAGCAAAATTTTCAAGTGATTCAGAGGTTTGATTGGGGTGGGATTGAGATTGAGATTGAGATTGAGATTTAGTCGGAGAAGAAGAGAAGAAGAGGAAGGCGAAGGAGATGGCGGCGGAGATAGCGACGGAGGTGGTAAGGATGATAGAGATGATGATGACGGCGGCGGTGGTGGATTTGGAGGGAGGGGTTGAGGAGGTGTCGGTGTTGAAGGAGAGAAGAGTTGTGGTTTGATTTGGGGGATCTTCCTCTTTGTGGGTTTTGATTGGTGTCGGCTTATTATTATTTGAGGTCAAGATAGAGAGAATCAGAACCCACGGAGAGAGAGAGGTCGTCTTCCTCAATGGGTTTAGAGATTTCAAGATTCTGTGTTTTACTCTTTCAGAAGAATCTGTGATCTTCTTCTGGGTTATATATCGTTGTCGTACAGAGAGGAAGGGGTAGAAAATGGGGTGAATTCTAGAGAGAGAAAAGGGAAGGTTGGCTGGGCATGAACACAATTGCCCTAAAGCGCTTAGTTTGTGAAGGAACTTTCCCGACCTCATTTCCGTTTAAGGAGTATTATGATGCCACAGCAGCCTCAATGCTTTGATGCTAGTGGCTTCTCTTCTTTGATCTAGTGTGTGCGCGCGTGTGTATATGTGTGTGTGTGTACTCTTTAAATTTTTGACTTAAATCTTTTTTACGCAGCTTGAGTCCGGTAGTTATGAGATGTTGAAGATCTGTGACAAGTGGAACGTGTTTTTGAGCTTGATGTCAAGAATCTTATGGTGGTGGTTTTTCCGTTCATGTGGTATAGCCTTGTTTCCCTCCGGCTTAGACATACATGGTATGGTGTAGTTAATGAGACGAGGTTGGGAATATTTAGTTGGAGTTTTATTTTTAAATCGGGGGCGTTGAAATTGTGAGAGTTTCGAAAGCCCGATCTCTAGTTGACTTAAAGCTGGTTGAGATAGCCCATCAAAATGGGGTCCTTTTTATTGGCAGTTTTGTTTGAACATATGAAATTGGTAAATTATTTGTGTCATGGACTCTGTTTTTATTGGTTTCATGCTAGCGTTTGAACAAATATTGAAATGGTTTATTATACTTTTTATGGCTTGATAAAAAAAAATTCTTTTGTTTTATATACGTTTGGTTTTGTTGTTTGTTAGGTTTTTCTTAGACCTTTTGTTTTGTTTTATGAATGATTGGGCGTTAACTATTCAAAGTTACTTCGTAATCCTTCTTATTCTGTTAACGACCCAGTGATGGCAAGATTCTCTTTGCATATAGGAAGGTTTGCGAATGGGTAATAAATAATTCAAGAAACATTTTGTCCATTGTAAAATAATAAGATTAAAATCAAATATTTATTATAAATCGAAAGGAATATATATATATATAGCCTAAATATTATATTATCTCAAGATAATTCAAAAAGTAATTTATCCTACACAAAATTGGTATTTTGAATCTGACACGACTTCACTCCAGTCACTAGTCCTGCCTTCAGCATCCCCCTCCTTGTGGTTAAGGTAATGATTTCTGGCATGGCCAGCTCCCATAGTGTGAAGAGCGGTGTGGGAACGAATTCACCGTTGTATGGCTGACCGGAAATTACTAACGATTTCAGCTTCATGCAGGCAAGTTGAAGCCTGCAATCCAAACTGAGGGTGGGTTTTTTTGGAGTTAGCTGACTGTAGTGGGATCGCGACCATTTGTCCCGGTCCAAAAAATACGTACACTCACTTACAGAGCTGAATATTCTAACAATTAAATCACTAGGTAACGACTGTGGTTGGCAAACAATCTAAACAACTTTGTCATCCTCTATCATGATGACATGCCACTATTAAGTATCGTCTTGGCAATTACATATTTAATCATCTTGTAGTTTCCTAGAATCTAATAGTGATCCATAAAAAATAGATACAATGACATCCTATTTATTGGTCTACACCTCGACCTTTCAATATACAACTCAAGATCTATACAAGAAACACTCACCATCTTGTAGTTTCCTAGAATCTAATAGTGATCCATAAAAAATAGATATAATGACATCCTATTTATGGTCTACACCTCAACCTTTCAATATACAACTCTAAGATCTATACAAGAAACCCTCTCTGTGAGTGGGATTAGAGCCAACGGTTCTAAAATAATCACTTCAAATATGATAGTCAACTTTTTGAACCATTCCTATCCTTACAGAGAATAAGATAAGCTCATATTAGTTAATCATATACGCAAAAAGATTATTAACCCATTTCCAAGCAAACGCACATAATAATGTCAATGCTTTCGCTGCATTATATAAGAAACCAATTACAAAGCCTATGCAACTCGCAATTAAATCTCGTCCATCCCCTAATTAACACTTTGGTTCGATAACAATGAATCCAAACAACCCAGAAATGATTTATTCCAAGTCGGCTCCGCCACCACCCTTGGCTTCCTATCCTTCGAAAGGCCAGTGGTCTACCGGCCTCTACGATTGTTGTGATGATCCCTCTAATTGTAATTGCAGGCCTATAAATTTTTTTTTTTTTTTTTCTTTTTTTTCATTACGGATATATATATTTTTTTTTGGCATTATTTTTGTGTATTGACCAAGTTTAATGTGTATTCTGAAGGTATGATCACTTGTTGTTGCCCATGTATCACAATGGGACATATTGTTGAAATCGTTGACAGAGGGACTACATGTAAGCAAGCTCTTTCTTTCCTGTTATTGATGGATGTGCATATAAACCTTTTCCTCTATATATATAGTCCATCTCCTTTTCATGTTGGCCATTTTGGATGGGTAAAAACTCTTACTCTGCTTTTTTCGCCATAAATCACACAAAGTAAGAGTAGGAGGACGTTAAAATAAAAAATTAGCAATTGAAAAAAAAAAAATTTATTAGAGTGTTTGTATATTTATTTATATATACTTATTTCACATAATACATTATTACTTTATTTTATTTGTTTGTTGACTTTTTAATATACTCTTTAAATAATCATATATATATATATATATATATTTACTTTGACTCCAAATCATTTTCTTATTTATTATATAGATGTATTAACAATCAAAGATATCTCTGGTTTAGAGTTTTTGTTGTATTGACTTTTCTACACAGGTGATACTATGCCATCAATTAATTATATTTTACTTTCTTAGATTCTAATACTAGTCCACGTTATTAAAACAACGGAGCAATAAAGTATTTTTCAGGGTCGTAACCCTCTTCTTTATAGGCCTGATACTTTACACCGTGACTGCGAAGAGTAATCCATGTGTGCTATGTTGTGACTTAGATTACTGAATCTTGTAACTTTTGCGCATATATGTATGTATGTGCAGCTTGCGGCGTTGGTGGGCTGATCTACTACGCTCTCGGGGCAGTTGGATGTGGATGGTTGTATGCATGTACATACCGCACCAAACTGCGTCACCTTTTTTCGCTGCCGGAGGCTCCATGCGCCGACGTCTTGGTTCATTGTTGCTGCTGCGTTTGTTCTCTCTCTCAAGAGTACCGAGAACTCAAGAACCGTGGGGTTGATCCCTCCATCGGTAAACTCCACCTCTCTCTCTCTCTCTCTCTATTAACTCAAATTGTGTATTTTATATTTTATAATATTTTTTTATATTATTTTTTACTAAATACATCACTCATGAATTCAAATCTCTCTTGACTGCGTACACACACACTCCCTAAGAGTACGTGCTGTGGGGGAAAAAGTTATCTATTTACTTTTTTTTAAATAGATTGCCCCGTAAGCTAAAAAGTAATGATATAATACTCTAATTTTTTGTTGTTCAATATATTTTATAGTGTGGAACTCAATTATCTCATTATTTATTTATTATTTTATTAATTATTGAAGATAAAAATTAGTATTTATAGAGTACATAAAATAGCCATTTAAAAGAGTCATTTCAAAGCTAAGCTGCTATCTCTTTTTTAGTTTTTATCCACAGATTTTCTGTGAATCCATACGAGACAGAATAACCAATAAACAAAGTAAAGAAAATGCTAGATATGCAAAAGCCCATAGAGAAGTCTTTGTGGAGGCACAAAAAGAGCGCTCAATTTTGAACGCATACCGCCCCCCTCTCTCTACTTTTCACAATTCTTCTCTATAATTTGATGCGTCCCAAATGCTCTAATTAACCTCTTAAAAATGAGAAGTATTATATACATTGGGTATCGTTACTCATATTTTCATCAGGTAGGTTCCACAATCACATTCAACTCTGGAAAGACCCAGGGAGGGTATTTTGAAAATTTTACTTTAATATTTGAGAGTGAAACATAATCTAACTAGTGGTGATTGCATGATGTATATGCAAGGTTGGCAATCCAATGTCGAGAAGTGGCATCAGGAGGGGGTTACAGTGCCGCCCATCGCAGCCCTGGGCATGAATCGTTAATTTTCGTACACTACTATTATGTATGCTTATTACAACAATAATAATATGGTGATTGATATGTTTGTACTGTTTCACTCTCTTTTATAAGTCAATACTGTATTAATAATTCCATTTGTTCGTACTTGTAATACACTTTCTGCAATTATTATTGATAACTTCTATACATAATCTGGTTTGGTTAACAGCTGAAAATTTTACGGTTCTCTAAAATTTCCCCGAGTTTCTGAGAATCATTTTTAGAAAATTGAACCAAACAAGCCCTCAATTTCTGAGAATCATTTTTAGAAAATTGAACCAAACAAGCCCTCAACACGGGACTGTCAAACAAGGCTCGAACATCAATTTGCACAGCTGCAGCTTAAATACCCGCTAACTAATTCAATCAGATGGAAAATGACAGTAATTCAATACTCAAAACCAGTTTCTGAACTCATGAAGAAATGGCAACCGAACTGAGAAATTCATGCCTCGTATTGTTAAAAACCTAGAGGACAAACAAACAAACACAGAAATTTGTAATTTAAGAATTACAAAGGCAAACTCCGGAATGATAACATTACAATTCATATTTCAGGAACAGCCATGACCATTACTAAGATTTCAAAGCCTTAGTAATATCTTAATACAGGTTACAACTTACATCACTGATCAGTGATCATAGGACATGCTTAATTACAACACGGTCAGTCAATGTTAGCAACCGAACGAAACTGGTTGAAACTACCCATTAGTATACGAAAGTTTGTCGTCAGACTAAAATTTCTGAAAGGCGGGATGGAGATGTCAACCATGCCCATTGGCAAGAGTACACCAACAGCAGAAAAAGAAGGGTTAACTTGGGCACAGTTTTGATGCTGGTTACCATCTTCACCGCGGAGTCACTTCTGGTGGCTATCTAATGGAGGTGGAATAGCTTATCGAAAGCATTGCTATAATCTACAGGCTTGGAAGATGGTAATGTCAATCCTTGGGGCGAGCTAACCATAAAGAACTGAGGGCCCGGAGGCGTGACATGTAATCACTGATGACAAGAAGGGCACGGGCTGCTTGACGAGTGGTCAAAATTCGATGCATTTGTTGCAAAGTTTGTTGCCTCAAGAGGTCAGCCTAATAAAAGGAAAAAACACAGTTTATGCTCAGATAGATATTTTTATTGGAATTATTCATCATACTGAACATCCAAGCTTTAGATGTATTGACGTAAAAGCTTCACCTGATGAAGGAAGGTCTCGAGTGTGGCAAGCTTTCCCATTGCGATTGCCATCTGTCCCATGTAGTCGGCTACATTTCCAGAGCCAGTCGGCCCCAGAGAGTTGGAGGAAAGTGTGTCTATAAGGGATTGTTGCAGAGCTTCCATTCCTTGTGACAAAGCATCCTCAGCCTGTTGGGAGGACTGCTGCAGATTGCATATGCCCACCAACTGTTGGTCCGTTAAAGGTTCAAGATGGTTTCCGAGTATCTGAAATTCCAATTAGACGAATTTTAAAAAATAGCTCATTATTTGTTTACCCAGTGTAAGAAGAGATTTAAAAAAGAACAAGAAAAGGAGCAAAACATGCAAAAGTCAATTACCTTTAGAAATTCAGATGACCGGAATCCACCCAGCCACATGAAACACCTCTCAGCAGGAGTTTTCCACATGCCCGAAAGCATGTGAAATACATCGCACTTTGCACCAATGCTTTTCAGCCTGAATATTTCATCATAATGTGACATTACACCATCAACAAGATGGTGCAGCTCATTATCACCCATATGACAATTTACAGCTGATCTCAGATCATTGATCAGACGTTGATGTTCATCAAGCCAGCGTGCATAATCCATGTCGAACGACAAGGCACCTGTATGCATCACCATCACATTGAATGATGTAATGTGAACAATTTGTCAGTACTTTATATACTACCTAGAATTTATGTAATCTTCGATGAACCACAAAATCTAGTTTAGAGTGACAATTTTTCCTTTACAAAATGGAAGAAGTCCAAAAACAGGTACCATATATTCTCTCTTTTTTTTTTTTTTCTTTCTGTTAACAGATTAGGTGAGGATAACAGAGTATAACAATAATGTAGGCATGTAGTGATTCTTGTTCCTAGAGTTTATGCAATTAGTCCTTTGAATACTACCTAGACTTCACATAATCTTCAATGAACCACAAAATCTAGTTTAAGTTGACAATTTCTCATTTTACAAATGGAAGAAGTCTCAACGGGTAATACGTTTTGCTATAAAACATGCAAAAAGAAACTGAATGAAAACTAGAAACAGATACTGTCCCACAAGATTACAGTTTTAGGCATAATTATTGCATGCACACCAGTTGGTCCCTTGCTCAGAGTGAACAAACAGGAACAAATAGTATCCAAAAAAACACACACATGACCTTTGATTTCTGGTAGTTTCATTTCAAAAAATCATACAGGACCAAACCAGTAAGAGTTCTGCTGTCTATCTACCATTTCAATTATGTTATCACTAAGACGCATCTCCCTCAAGCTACGTGACAACCTTGAACTAGGACAACTGTAAATAATTTCCATCCTATTTCGTCCTCGCATGAAGTAAAGACGTTGTACTATCTGAATCATATTCCTTGCTTTTATACACATCTAGAGGAACAAGTTTCGAAGTTCTACCACAACTGAATGAATCATCTCCGAGACATTCCTAATTTTGATTTTCTGAACTACTAATGATTTTCTTTATATTCATAATTTTCACTACATTTTATAGCCCTCCAAGAACTCATTGCATAACCAAGTGAACCCAATGCCATTAACCTATCTATCACCAAACCTCTACAGCCATTCCCTATTAAGGTATTAAGGGCTCAAAGGGTCTCAAACAAATTTATCAAGTTATGCTTATGCCTATCTTCTCTGACTTTCAAGCAAGCTTTGTAGCATTGATTTTGAACAGCAAGTACGAATATTGGGTATAAACTGCATTGAGAAGAGTACTTGTAGTTACAATGACTACCAAATTTAGAGAGAATTTTTCTTTTAACAGGCCACCTACCAATTAAAATAAATAAAATATAGTAGCAAGCTTGATTTCTGTAGATTTCATCCATTAATGACACATTGCTTCTACCATTCACTAAAATCAATCTAACAGTCTTTTTCCAGATCTTGTTATGTAATTCAACTCCATTTAATGCAATAACCTCAGCTAAACCATGTATGTCATATCTTTACTAACTGTCACAACTCATGTTAGTTTTGGTCTTACCTTCTCATAGCATTACCCTTAATAAGGACCAAAATCATTTCTCCTAACCAATGCTGTTATTAGTCATTGTCTCATTGATGGTCATGCCAAACAAACTTAATCAATTTTCCCAACTATTTGGGGTTGTTAGGCTCCCATTCACGATTAACAAGAATCCAAATATACATTAGGAGGTCCCATCTGCTATGTTCACCAATTACTAAAACTAGTCCAGCCATTAAATCATTGAGAATCTCATTTGCATGAATGTGCACATACTATACACTATTTTGCATATGTTCTTTGTCTTGTCTTCCAATAACGACATAAATCTTGTGTTCGTTTGCTTGCTTGTGTTTTTTCCCCTTTAATTAAATTTACAGTGATTGCAAGATCCTTAAGATTGTGTCTAAACACAACACCTCAAAACAACAAAGTGTTGTCGCAGCCTTGGTTGTTGGTTTTGAATTTAAAGTCACAAATGGCGAGTACAAAGTACGAGGTTGAGACAATTGGCGGGAACTGGAAAAGAAAGCTACCAGCACCACTCAACTCAATCTCTCAAATGAAGTCCCATAAATCATCAATGAGAAAACAATTGCAGAGATCCAAAGGAAACCTTGTATATATCTCAATAAGAAACTGTACGAGCTTCAGATGGAAGAGAATACAACCTATCCCAGAGCATCTTAACATCTTTAATGACTTGAACAAAAGTTGTTAAAAACTGAAGTAAAGATTAATGAAGAAGACAAAGCCTTACTTCTATTGGCTTCATTGGCCCAATCCTATGATAGTTTGGTGACAACCTTTTCCATATGACAAGGACCCTGGTGCTAACAGAGATTACAACAGCTCTTCTAACAAAGAAGAGGTTACAATGGGAACATATTTCGATTAAAGACAAGGACAGGAAAAAGTAAGGTGAAGCATTTCCACCATAAGAAGGATGGTTGTATCAAGAGAAACTACAAAACTCTATACGAGTTTCTCCTATCACATGCCTCCGAATAGAGATTGGTTTGACATTAACCATCATGTAATGGAGGAACTATTCTGATGGGGAATGGTTTTGTAAAGCCACTAAAATAGGTATGGTGAAGATCAAAATGTTTGACGGAATTGTAAGAACTCTGGGAGAGGTCGGATATATTCTTGATTTGAAGAAAAACTGATTTCATTGGGCACGCTTGACTCTTTCGGTTGCAGCTATTCCGTGAAAGGAGGAACAACTAAATTAAGAAAAGGAACCTTAGTCATCATGAAAGGCCAAAATGTTGGGGATCTGTACAAGCTGGTAGGAGGAGGAGCAATTGTGTCAAACCCTTCCAAATCCAGAGTAGGATTGGCTGCCAAGGATTATTCACAAAGATGGAAAAGATAATAATGAAATTTCGTCCGTTTTGAAACATACCTCCATTCAAGTAATTATGGATATGGCTGCAACTATTACATAGACTCAAATAATGTGTTGTCAGTATGTATCCAAGGTTGGATGTGTCAAATCCCCAAACAGGACGTGGACACTACAAAATATTAATACTATTTAAATTTTTTTTTTTTATGAGTAAATGTCTTTATGTAACATAGTGTTCAATAATGACATTTTGTTCATTTTGGAGCAATAATGTAATGAAATTGAATTGTTTGATGTGCTCTTTTAGGTGCATGTCCAACCAAAAATGTCAATCACATATCCCATACCCATTGTCCAAGTATTGTGTGCCTAATACAAGTAAATTCATCTACTTTTGAAGAGTCAATATAACATATAGAGACAACTCACAACATGGAGTTCGAAAAACTAAATGTCAAGACAACTTAATGAAATCGAGCAACTAGGAAAAGAATACTATCTATTCAAATTCATGAAGTCACTGTACATACTGAAGCAAACTCACCGGGAATGGTGCAAATGCTTTTAACTCGTCTATGGCGATACATGGGTACATTATATGTGAGCATTATTTTTACTCCCTCTGTCCCATATTAATAGTCCCGTCTTGGTATTATAACTCGTTAAGAGGACATGTAATTCATGCATTGTCCCCTTTTAAAATTACCAAGTTGTCATTTCAAGTTTAAATATGTACATTAAGTTTGGAGGATTTTTTTTATTATTCTTTTTTTATTTTTTTATTTTGACAAGTATCAAATTAGGAGATTTTGAAAACTTAAAAGCTAACTATAGAAAAATTATATTTATTTTGCTTTTGACTTTTCATATAGAATTTTGGGACAGCCCAAAAAAGGAAAGAAGGACTATTAATATAGGATGGAGAGAGTATGTATATTTCAACAAAATTACTGTTGATCTTTTTGTGATACTTACTCTATATGTTGAAGACAAATTGACTGCTACCAATAGTATGTTATTGATGAATTGAAGACCATGTTGAGGAAATAGTTTGATATGAAGGATCTAGGAGCAGCTAAGGAGATCCTTGGTATGGAGATCTAGAGAGATCGTCAAGCTGGAAAACTGTGGCTGACCAAAGTATGTACATGGAGAGAGGTCTGGTATGTTCACAACTAAACCTGTTAGCACATTGTTAGGAGCTCACTTTTAGTAATCATCATAGTTATACCCAAGGATATATGATGAGGTATGTCTCAAGTGCCTTGAGCAAATGCAGTTGGGTATCTCATGTATGCAATGTTTGTTAGGAATTATGTCTCAAATTCCTATTATAATAAGATTTCTATTTTAGAGTGTATTTTATATGATAAATTCTTGTTAGGCAAGTCTTGCACTCTATGGGAATTTTCTTCCTAGGCAAGTCTTGGCCTCTAAGAAATTGTAATCCTTGCCCAACAAGGAATTGTGTTTAAGCCTCTATATATAGATACCTAGGTTATGGTTGAAAGATATGAGTTGAGAGACATATAGCCCTAGAGTGGAGGGCAGCCCCATGAGGGAGTTGATGGGTAGAGAGTGTTTTAAGGGTTTGGTAGAGTGAACACTGATGGCAAAAGGGAGTCTTGCAGAGTGCACAGAGAAGAACTCTAGGGTAAGAGTTTGTGTACATGTTCCAGTATTGGTAATTCTCTATTATTGTAATATTTCTACATCAATATACTGAATATCTCCTTATCTATGGACGTACCTCAGAGTTAGGTGAATCACATATATCTTGTGTTTGTTTTGTGATTGTGCTTGTTTTCGCTTCCGTTATTCCCTAACAAGTGGTCTCAAAGCCAATGGTTTGTGATGGGAAGTTAGGCTTTTATTTGAACAAGATCAGAAAAACACAAATAGTCTCAATATGTGTTGCAACAGGTTCAAGTCAATCAATCAGCTTGTGTGGTCATGGTCGTCTTGACCAAAGCAAACATAAGCATCGATCGATTGACCAACTTGGACAATGTATTCTCAAACTGTCAAACACAATCTTGTTGACGCCTTTTGTAATAATATCTGCAAGCTGCTAAGAACTTGTGACAAATAGAGTGCAATTCTGACTAGCGATGATTTTCTCTCAGTTGAAGTGTCGATCAACAAATCAAAAATGTCTCCTCAGACAATAACCAACTAATCATGTCTCCTCAGACCGTAAACAACCAACAATGTCTTCTTAGACCATTTCCCTTCATACACATGTTTAAAACATGTAAATGAAAGAACCAACGTCTCCTCAGGCCATTCCCCTTCATACATATGTTTAAACAATGAAGATGAAAGAATCAACAATGTCTCCTCAGACCATTAAAAGAAACAACTATGTCTCCTCAAACCATTTATGAATAGGTGGTGCTAAACTCGCAACGCCCTCATTAAGGTCGGGGACCACCCTACCTACCCGACACCTCCAAGATGGGCAATGTCACCTTAAACCATTCCATATAGATGGAAGAACCAACAATGTCTCCTCAGGCCATTCCCCTTCATACATATGTTTAAACAATGTATATGAAAAAATCAACAATGTCTCCTCAGACCATAAAAGGAAACAACTATGTCTCCTCAAACCATTTCTGAATAAGTGGTGCCAAACTCGCAACGCCCTCATTGAAGTTGGACTACCCTGCTTACCCGACACCTCTCAGATGGGCGATGTCACCTTAGACCATTCCCAAATGGGTGGTGCCGAACTCGCAATGCCCTCATTGCAGTCGGACCACCCTGGCTTTGATGCCGAGTAGAAAAACAATATAGAAGAAAAATGAGAGAAATGTGTAAAAGGCCTGAATGAGATATTACACTCATTCACAACTCTAGTATTTATAGATAAAAAGAGCACATACTCATATTACAAGAAAGGAAATTAAATCAAATCACAGCATATTCTATGGCATATTCTATAGCATATTCTATGGCATATTCTATAGCATAATCAAATCTCTGCTAATACGGTAAGTCATTCCATAAATCGTGACTATCATATCTACTACCAGATATCTATAAGTGGAGGGTCCTATTTACAGATATTAGTGGGACAGGGCCTGTAATTAATTGGAAAAGGAAAAAGTTAGGAGTAACTCAGGATTCCCAAATCTAATTGGGGAAACAATTAAGAAACCCTATTGATCACCACCACAAGCTCAAATAGCAATATATGTATATATAGATAGATCATGTGTCGCGAGATCAATCAAAATCCTTATATAGATCATGGCATACTAGAGAGAAATTTGAGTTCCTCTTAATAAAAGTTCCCACAATCTAGAAGATCAGTCATAATGTACTAGGGTCTGAGAGGTGAGGAATAAAAGTTGTCCAAGGCTTGTTCAAGCTTGAAGGAGGAGGCCATAGAGTGTTCTCGTAATTCAAACGAACAACCAAATCATTTGAAGGTATGTTCTTCATTAATGATTCAGTATTAAACATGTGGTAAAGATCTTAGAATTCTTTTAAAAAAATAAAAAAACATTTTTTTTCCTTCAGTCATTGTATGGGATTATAAATTACCACAGACACAAAATAGTTCTGTACTACCACAAATGGCAAGTCCCTGACAAAGATCATAAGGTCAATAGCGAAACAGCCACAGCAAAATGTAGATGCTCCTACCTCAGATGATATTCATTATAGAGGCAAGGATTTTTAAAACAAAACTGACAGGTTTTCTAACCAATTAATCTGCCCGTTGGTTAACCGTAGACAAAACCTAATGCTTTACTTATGTGAAAATCATTTCATATCTCACTTCATAAAATTCATACAAATAGCTCTTTACCATAAAAATTATAATGTGTATGATTGTAACATCAAAACTAGAGCTTACCAACAACTAGAGAAAAGCCTAATGATTTTCCTTACCGTTCCCACCTACTGAATGACCCTGATCTCCAGAATATCCAGTTGAAATATACATGCCCTGCATTGAAAAAGATAAAATTTGGAAAGAGTTAACGAGAAAAAGGAATTTCTATAAATTCAACAAAAATAATGTAGTAATTTTAAATGAAAACCCACAAACTAAAACAATGCACTAAATTGGGTTGAAAGACAAAAATAGTTAATGATATACAATATGAATAATACATTAACAAGTTTAGCATGAGCTGCTCCAAAATGCAATGATAGTAATTATGGTAGAAATTGGATTATAAGATTGGATGTCAGCTTAATTTTTCATAACTAAAACAAAATTCTGAACATATATTGTCCCCTTCACTGCCAGAAGATTCCTTCAAAAAATATTTTCCAACAGCCAGCTTCTGATTTATGAATTAATTTTAAATGAGTAATGATCTTACTGCAATTATTATAAGTTTCACCAATAAAACCAATTATTGATTTTTCTGTTCTCTCTTTTGGGGCAGTTAACAGAATCATGCTTAGTCATTTTAGTGTATCACATGTCTAGTTTTACCACAAGTTGTGAAATTTTGCATTCCGCAAGTTATTTAAGACAATACTTCATATTTAATTAGACAGACCACAGATTGAAGTTAATCCTTGCCGATACCAACGCATAACAGGCAACACAACTTAATATTGGTTGATACTAAAAGATCCATTTCATTGGATACTGTATGCATAACATGGGTGTACAGAGAGAGGGAGAGAACCTGCTGACGTGCTCGTTGAAGTTCCTGCTCTAGTTGTGTAAGCTTCAGCCGACTACTCTCCAACTGCTGAACATATGCCTATTCAAAACCAAAACCTATAAATGTTCCAATAATGGTACACACATTTGATTGTCACATGATCATATAAGAGAAAAGAAGTCACAAAAACAATTAATTTTCATGGAGAAAAAAGTTATCTAGTTGGCATCCTCTGTCAATTGGAAGTAAGCTGACGCGGAAGTAGATTGATTATTTCACAATATTGATAATGAAACACCTTAACAAAAATGAATCATTTTTTATCAGGTAGCTTAGCAGTAAAACAAAACTGAGAAGCATTTGCAAGGAAAATATAGGGTGGTCCTTTCGTCTTCATTGGGAGACTAACTATGAATCGATCTTCTCAGCATCTCATATTACCAACTTAGATCAGATAATAACTTTTCACCAGGATGAACTCCCTAGTGTAGCTCTGGTTGAATAGAGAAAGTTACAAGATGCTGTAATTGTTGTGTCCACAGCTACTTAACTGTTTAACCACTAAACTCGAAAGGTGCAAATATCATGTTAACCAAAAACAGGCCCAGATAATTTCTGTAAGTCTGTCCCAGCAGATTCCAGATTTGATATATTTGTGTATGGTTGTAAAAACCAAGCTTCAAGATTAGATGGTTAATCAATTCTTATCATGTTATCTATCCTCTAAAACAAAGAAAGGTTTGGATTTTCTCCAGCAAAATTATCAATATGAATATTGAATTTCGTAGAGAAAGTTTCGGAAAACTTGCCAAATGTGTGCCTGACTCCTTAACGACTTAAGCTTTCGGGGCAACTGGTTTTGGGGTTTAAGTCTCCATCTCTGCATTTTTTCCTCATTTTGGCGTGCAAGTTTGCACTTGTTCTGTTCAGTCTCCACGTGCAAGACTGGGTTGCATGTGAAGGGAGGTTGCACATGAGGGAGGGTGTTAGAGAGCTTGAAATGCATTGTTGGGCCCATTCCTTAACAACTTACAAGCTTTGGGGGCAAGTAGTTGAGAATTCCAAAGAACAAACCTTTAGGGGAAATTGGGTAAAATTTTGCAAAAAAGAGAAGAGAAGCAAAGATTCAAGAAGCCTATATCTATCCAGTCAAATTTTTATATATTTTTACAAATATATATACTCTATAATTCAAAGGTGATTATGTTATTTACAAGTACATATACTTTATCCAGGCTCCCATGTCCAAACCCAATTCTCAAACTACAACTTCTGTCTATAGACTGTACTCTTCCCTTTTTAAAGTTGTCTTACCACCAGTAGTTTCCTTCTTTCACTTGATCATGTGAACCTTTTAAGAATTTGCAGCTGCTTCTGACTATCTTTTATATAAGAAACAAAAGTATAATTACATGCATGTTTTGATGAATTTGGGACAATACAAGACTGCAGAAGAAACAACTCGGAAAAGGATTGTTCTCCAGCAAACTAGCACAGGGGACTCTGAAAACTTGTTCAATTTTCAATTTTAGTTTCAAAAATCTCAGGACTTCATAAAAGCAGAGCATTATGTCCACAACTATGGTGTTCGTTAAAAAAAACTCCTAGAATCTGACCTTACATTAATCGAAAATGTTCACATTTTCCCATCTATTTAGGTCTTAACATCCATTTGAGTTAAACATGCTTAGTAAGTACAAAATATTGGAAAAATAAAATTTCAAATGTTAAAGATCCTTGTCGAATAATATTCATCCTTATATAAAAATAGTGCAGAAGAAACTAGTAGAGATGCATTACTTTCTTCCTCAATCGACTCTTCCGTGCAGCTTCTCGATTCTGAGCCAGCCGACGAAGTGTCTACAATAAAATTAGTGAAAAACCATTACAAGCTTAACCTTCAAACATAGAAGATAAAAATGAATCATGTAATAAAAGAGCCACCACATTGACATTATGACATTAACCTTCTGGTCCCCAGCTTTTCCCTTGGATTGATCCATTGAATCCACAACCATGATTGCTCCATGCTGAACTCCACCAAACTATTAAACAATGAAAACCCACAATCAGAACTCCCAACCCACCTCGACTTTCTGGGAAATTAAAATAATCAAAGAAAATTATCTACAAATCACATATGCCCACATGAAATCAGTGTGTTTAACAGCTCACTTGCTCATCATCTATTGACTGTTAAATGAACCCATACGGCCACATAGCATTAACTGTTCCTAATATTTAACCAAAAAAAAAGAGGGGGGGGGGGGGGGGGGGGGGGGGGTTTGAAGATTCCACTTACAAACCAAATTGATCAATCAATGGATATCTATTTGTTGGGAGAATATCATAGAAGTGATTTTAGCCTAAGATAGAAGAGTGATTGGAGTAATTTATGGGATTAATTTTAGAAATCCTACTTTCCATATCTATGACTTGTATTATTTCAACTATAAATAGAGAGGTGCTCATTCTAAACAATATTAACAGAGAATGTAATGAAAGGGATATATAGTCCTTCGGACTTTGTGTGCTGTGAAGATAGGCCGACTTGTATTCTTTCATGTTTAATTTCTTTCTTAAATTTTTTATCTTTCTAACACAATTTTTTTTTTATAAACTGTTGGCAACTGTAGCTATGAATAATATGAACATATATACTCAACATAAACTAACAAAGACAAAAGTTAATTCACCCATTTTAATTTCTATAAACAAAATATGATTGCCATGCAACACAAACATATAGTTACATAGATCAAAGAAAACTGGAAGAAATGAGTCCAGTTTTAGGAAATCTTTTTCCACAAGAAGACAAGAATTTTGATATTTGGGAAAGAAACAAAGGGACCTGGTTTTTGTCATCAGTGTCAACATCTGTGGAGGTGTCAGTCTGTTGGCTGTTGTCTGCCATTCCAGAATCTCCCCAGTTCTCAAAATGCCCATTTCCCAATGACCCACCAACGCCCACCTGCACCATGAACTGCCCTGTATCCACCCCTGTTCCTGAAGAACCCATCTCTGTTGAACTAATGTTCTACACACACCAAACACACTAATTTATTTAACCATGTAATTGTATAAAATAAATAAAATAAAAAAAACACACAGATCTATTTGTACAGAGAAAGAAACTAGGTGGTGGAGGCTAATACCGTGTTGAGTCCTCCGAATGGCGTGTTGTCAGAGACAAAAACATTGCCCGACTTTGTGGCATTGTTAAATATAGAGCCTAAAAATGAGTTTTTTTTTTTTTTTTTAACGAAAAAAAAAAAAAAAATAGAGTAGTTAGACAGGGGAAGGTAGTTTAGAGAGAGAGACAGCAGAGAGAGAAAGAGAGAGAGGGATATACTTGTGCTTAAATCAACAGCATCGTCCTGATGATGAAACCCAGCTGCTGATTGTTCAAGTTCCCCAAGATCCGCAAAACGCGTCTGGTTTCGGCCACTCTCATCACCTCTGCATCCAAACACAACCCAGAAACAGAGACAGTCTCTGAATCAAATTAAAACTACCCCCACACACATATCTATATATATATATATAATCATATAAAAATATATATTACTATGTGAATAAATAAATGTATTAGGCAGAAAAAATAAACAAAAAAGGAAAGAGAGAGAGAGAGAGTGAGTACCCAAGTACTAAGAAGGGGGAGTGACAATACATATCGGAGTTAGTGGGAGGAGCTGCTGCTTTGAAGCTCTGCATTTCTCGTTTCCTTTCCCCCTCTCTCTCCCCGTCTTCCACTTTCTCTCTCTACATATATATATATATGTGTGTGTGTGAATAGTCGTCCCTTCGAGAAGATGAAGAACAAGAACTGAAGAAGGAAAAGGTTGTGCGAGTTATGAAAGCTATTAGTATGTATCTTTTTCATCAGAAGATAGCGTATCAGTACGGCCCCCTTTTTAATTCGGAAAATTATTAATTGGAGACTGGGACGAGTTGAAACTTTTATTAAACTTATAATATAGTTTTTTATATATTTTTTTTCTTTGTGGTATAGTGAAAATCCATATCCATATGCTTTTTGGGTGAAGAACACATCAGCACCAAATTAACCAGCTACACGTATCACATTGTTCCAAATGTGCCACGTCAGTGCCACGAGACATCTAGTTAGTAGTGGATGATGCCATGTCATCCGCACATCATTTGCTCCCACAGTCCCACTGCATGATAGAATCCAATTCTACTGTTGATAAACCAACCAATTTTACACACATGTAACCAAATAGGATATGATATTGGTATTCCACATTTGTTAATATGCATTTCACTTAATTATTTAATAAATAAATTGACGAAATTATTCATTGAAAGTTGAGTTTAACTGATAAGCTAAACAAATCCGCCTAAGAAATAATCCAAAGCATTGTTTTTCTTTGCATAATCAATGTAAACACCCATATTTGAAAATATGAAAGTATAAGGACTAATTTGATTTGTAATTATGAAAATAGTTTTCTATTTTCGAAAAACTAAAAACAAAAAATTGTATAAAAAATTTTGCTTGATTCAGTTTTCTGAAAACTCACTTATAAAAATTTATATTTTCAAATAACAATCTTTTATAGTTTTTTGAAAACTGTTTACTGTTTTCGGAATTTTGGAGAACTGTTTTTAAAATTACAAACCAAACACACTGTCTATATCAAGTTTGTAACTTAGTAGTACTTACACTCACCTTCCAAAGTGAAAAGACAAAACTTCAAGTCTTCTATAGGCAAATTCGTGTGGTTCTTCATTTTATTTTTTATTTTTTATTTTTTTGGGTTAAAAACAAAAGTGTATAGTAATTGTTTTGGACCATATAATAATTTATCTTTCATATCTCACAAGAAATCATTACATGGTCATAAAACTATTGGTCTCGGCCAATCATTATATGACACATCAGCAAAAGCTTTTTAAGATAAAACTTACACATCTTTAATGTATTTGTTATATGTCATTATTGATCTGAGACCAATGGTCCCAGGATCATGGAATCGAGAAAGATTTCCCTACTTCAGTGATATCATGTTATCGATGTTATCAACCAATTATATCATATTACATAAGAAAAAGAACAAAGTATTTCTCCATGAAACCGATCTAATAATTCTCTCTACCCCATTGAGGTTAGTAAAAGTATACAATACCTTATGGTTATATTTTGAAGGTATAGAATCGGAACTTTAGAATTGAAATTGGTAAAATTGGAGAAAAGTAATTCTAAAAATTAAATCAATTTATTTTTTAATTTCACCAATTTCAATTTTAATAAGAAATTATTAGATAGTCCTGATCTATTTAACACTTGGTGAACTAATTCAATGAAAACCCTCCGATTATAAAACTTTGTAATTTATTAATACACTCTTATGGGCCCATTTTCTCAATTCGAAAGTCTGCATTTAACGGATTTATCAAGTGTTAATAAATCAGGACCATCTAATAATTTCTCAATTTCAAGACTCCAATTACACACTGTCAAACACAACTTTGGAGCATTCACGTACACATGGTACCCCTCTCTAACGCATGGTTATAGAACTTCTGAATTTACTTTGAGATGATTGTGCATTGTACGGGGGCAGCACATGTAAAATACTCTTTCTCTTGAGATTAAAAATTATTACTACTTCCGTTCTATTTTAGACGTCGGTTTCAAAAAATGTGACTCACAATTGCTTAACTCACAAAAGTGATGCTGACGTGGTGGTGGCAATGATATGGTATTAGACTACTAATATCCACGTGGATTCAGGAAAAAAAAATAATTCGGCTTCTACTAATTATTACAGTACATTATTATTTAAAAGAAAATCCCTCTTCATACAGTAACTTTTCTACTTTTCTCTGATGACTTCATTTGGCGTCAGAGCTTTTCTGAGCTGACCCTCTCGGCGCATTTTAGTTTCCCAATATCTGAACAACATTTTATCTTTCTCTCCCCAATCTCAAGTAATGAGCTACTCTTCCACGCGCCAATTGAATAGCAACAAACTTTCCCGTATTTTCACGCGGCTCAGAAATGCGTGTAATACTTTAGGTCCTTTCTTCAAGACAAGGGAGGACCTACCTTTTCCCTCTCCAGTTTTTCCTAGTAGCTTTCGTAGATGCTTCTCCTCCTCCTCTCTAGGTGGTGTGTACTATACACAATGTCGTGTTTATATATATATATATTTATATATTTATATATTAGTGTAGACTATAGAGTAATGCACTCATTAATGATGAGAAAGTTAATGAGATTATTATAAATGAATCTTGAAAATTAAATATAATACACAAAATATCTTATAATAAAAATATTGAAGAGACATAATTCAAGTAGCGAACTATATTCATATGGTACAAGAATTTTACCGTTGATAACAGTGATTCTCTTCCTATTGTGACATACATTTAATTATTTGAAAAAAGAATTTATAAGTATTGTAAAATCAAAATTTTATATCAATATCCATTCATATTGCAAAATTAAAATTGAATAATATTTAGTTGAAAGTTTAAATTAAATTTACTTCAATTTCGATGTTTCCAAATTGAGTTCTACAATAGAAAAAGACTTATTTACATCAGTGATACTACTTAACAAAATCATCACACAGTAAATCAATAAAGTTCAAAGTGATTTCTCTTTTTCCTTCAAGTTGCCTACTACTATACCAGAGTGAATATGGTATCTGTCAGACATACGTAATGTTTTAGTTACATACATAACGCCTTAGCTAGTATACGAAAATATATACCATGATTCTTCTATCTATTGGTAATTGTATGCATTGCATGGTGGATGTAAAAAAATAGACCATAATCCCTGCAATAATGAGCCAAACTAATATTTGCAATGAATCCACCCGTTAAGTAGTATGTATTACGACAGGAACTCTCAACTCTCTTGCAAATACTTATGCTATAGCCTATCGATCATTAATATCTTCTCACATTAACAAAAGTGCATTTGGTTCGATGAGTCTTATTACTATGTATCAATATTTAATAAGTTAGTGGTATTATGTTATCAAAATACAAAGAGTATTAAAGTATTTTTCTTACAAATAAATCACACAAAAAGAATAAAATCTCTATATATATTATTTTTCTTTTCATTTCATTTGATCAAATTTAGGTATCATATTTAATATTTTCGTATAATTTTATTTTATTATATATTGAGTTGACTTTGTATAGCAAAATCATTTTAGTATTAGTTGGGTAAAAACAAAAGTTGTCCATTTGTTTTTTGGGTCCAAAATATATTATTTTTTTATTTAAAATGTGTTTTAATTTTTAAAAATTGCCTATTGCTGTATATTTTGCAGTATTATATAAAAGTATGTGGATGGTATTGAGAAACGAGTCGAAAAGGGCAGAGAAAGATGATGGGATTGTGATGGGATGGTGCTGAAAAAATAATAGCAAAAATAGGTATGTGTTGAATTTTAATACAGCCTTTGCTTGAGAGTAACCTCTGCAATCTGCCCACAGAAATGATTCGATGCGATATTTTACGGCAAACGTCGTACGTTGGATGATGGCGTCTAGTATTGTTGTGTTGTGTAACGTAGCTTCTCTCCTCTGGCGTTTATGTGATCTGTGTGTTTTATGTGTGTGATGTGCAGTCTGTCCCTTTGTGCTTGTGGGCATAGAAGCCAGTCACGTGAGCTTAATTCCAAAAAAAGTGTCGTTTTTTTTGGGTCGTCCTCCTCTACTACTTTGACAACGGGCCAGTTTGGTACATTAGTAGTGGAAGGAAAAGAAAAAGAATAGTAATGGATGGAGATGAAATGTAATTCAATAAGAAATTATGAAATTTTTTATATTAATTTGATAAAATATTTTTTTATTAAATTTATGAAATTTTTTTCTATTAATTTGAAAAAATATTCTTCATTAAATTTGCACAAATTTATCTTTAAATTTTTTAATTAATTATTTAAAATAAAACCTTAACTAGAAAATTTAGAACAATTTAAATAATTTCTTAATTTTTCATTAATATATCGCATAAAAAAGAAGTATTTTTTATTTAAGTAATATTAATTTTCATGAAGATATTGTATGGAAAAAATGTTATTATTATTATTTTTTTTTAATGGTAAAACTGTTTAAATAAAGTATAATCAGTTTTTATTATAAATAGTAAAATTTTAATAATAAGTTAATCATTTTAAAAAATAGTAGTTGCAATTTTTTTTTTCCCCATTCTTATGATAAATTGATACCAATAATAAAATTAAAGTAAATGTATATTTAATTTTTATATAAGAGAAAATACAATTAAAATCATTTAAGAAATGACAAATTTAATGAGAAAGGGTTGGGATGGATTTGTCCTTAATTGCAACAAATCAATAGTTTAATGGAACAATTTGTAGTTCAGGATGGTTATTTGCAAAAAGTCAATAGTTCGGTGTTTTTTATTTTTTATTTTTTTGCACTTTACCCTAATAAGATATGAATAGTAGCTTTAATTATCCTTTTACAAATGGGACAAATGGAAGGAATGGCTAATATTTTTAATGAAATTTGTTAATACTAAATTCACCCTTATTTTTATAAAAGACAAAATTTAAAAATGATATGATTACAAATTCATTAAAATAGTTTCTTTTCCTTTCTTTTCTAAACATGATTATTATTATTTCCGTTCGTTTTCTTCATTGATCAGCCAAACACTATAAATAGTTAACAATATCCTTTCATTTCATTTCTTTTCTCTCCTAATTAATGTTATCTCTTTTTTCTTTTCCACTATACTAAACATACCCTCAATTTATAAAGTAAATTACTCTGACTTCCTTGAGGATTGGTTATATTACTCTTAACTTAAATTAGTAAAAAAATTTACTCAATCACTTCTAAAGTTTTGTTGACTTATAACTCGGACAACTCTCAATTATAACTCGGACAACTCTCGACGATAGTTGATTTTATTGCTAGCC